TAAAGAGTACTCACACTTTTTGTAGATAATATCCTTGTCTTCTGCTGTCAATGTTGAAGTTTGGTCTTGCAGTTTCTTCTTTTCTTCTTCTGCTAGTTTGTTTTCATACTCAGGCTGATTAATATTACCAACAAAAAAATATGAGCTTCTCAGAAGAAGGCAAGATTTGTCTTGTAATGAACAAGGAGCTTGAGAGTTGGAATGGAGTGAGAGATATATTCCTACTGTATGTATGTAAGGGAGACGGCTTGGTCTATAGTATGTTAATGAGTTGTATATAAGCTGTGTCAAAAGGCCTATGAAATAGTACCCAAGCTAGACCACAATGCATTCTGTTTGTCAATCTTTCTGAAAAGGTCTATGAAATAGTAGCCAGAACATGTATTGTAAAACAGTGTAAGGCATTATGAACAAAAAATGTTGATTTGTACCCAAGCTAGACCACAATGCATCCTGTTTGTCAATCTTTCTGAAAAGGTCTATGAAATAGTAGCCAGAACATGCATTGTAAGACAGTGTAAGGCATTATGAACAAAATATCAAGGTTAGCAGCTCAGAAAAGTGCTACATCTAAGTAAAACCCAACTGCTCCAACTTACGTCTGGGTTCAAGACAAGTGTTAGACAATGTGGGTTATCTTTGAAGTATTCTTTGACTTTATTCTGCAGAAACTTCTCATCTTTGAGGCACTCCTACAGAGGAGAAATCAAGCATCAGAAAGATAACACAGACCAGCCCTTGGATGGAAGTTATACAATGCTTCTTCTGAGAATATGTTACTTTAGAACTTTAGAGTTTGTAATACTCTAGTAAGAAGAAGCATGCTTAACATACTTTGAACTTCTCAATGTATTTATTACTGCAATTTTCATGAACATGCAAACTCTGTGTCTCCAATTTGCTTGCTGAAATTTGKTTYTYYGCTGCCGCCAGTCAAAAATATGAAAGGTACCAGCTGATTAGGTTTGATTGACAGCAGTGAAAAACTAAATATCAGCGTGCAGCTTGCAGACACAGAATTCGCATGTTTATGAAAATTGCAATAACATGGAAAAACAAATCAGCCCTTTGATATACAATATACAATGCTTCTTTGAAATTCTGAGCATTTGTTCCCTGAGGGTACATATATGAGAACAGGGGGTGCAACTTTAGAGTTTGTAATACTTTAGTACGAAGAAGGGATCCTAACATACTTTGAACTTCTCCATGTATTTATTAACTTGGAGGTACTCTGTGGGATCTCCACCATGGTTCCAAGGCTGCATTAG